TCAGATTTCAAGCAGAAGTTGATTTACTTTGAGTCTTACCCTAATGTAGAGCAGCTTCAGTACTTGACCCAAAGCCCCCAATACATTGAAGTGGCACAAAACTGGGGGAAAGGGTCATATACCACGGGAAATGCAGTTGGCAACAAGCCTGATAATTCAATTATGGGTCACTCTAACTACAACTCCTATAAAATACCTTGATGGCATTTCTGAATATAAATTTTTGGATCCCTGATAAAAGATTTAAACATTTTTTAAGAATATTTTAATTTTAATTGAAAAACCAGACCTTTGCCTATTAAAAGCTCATTTTTCAACTGATGGATGTTGAAACCTTCAGCTCAGCACTCACTCCTGTTAGAGAAACATCATCTCCAGAGAAGGTGTAATAAAACAGAGTGTATATCCAACTATCAGGGCCTCCACTTCACACACTGATGTTTTACCTTAAGCTTCTAATGAAGGAATGAGTTATATTTCTTTACAATGAAATCGCTGAAGATAAGCATAGGCACATGTTGTTTTCTCCTGCCCTTGTGCTGGGGTTGGTAAACTTTTGACATGAAGGGTTCATCAGCACCTGGGTGTGAGGATCTGTTTAAAGCCATCAGCCTCTCTTGGTTTAGTGGGGCAGGAGCCTTTGTCTTTGAAGACTGAGAGGAGAATTGAGTCTCCATGCCCTATCAGCCTTTGAACTCTAGTGATTAAGCTGTCAATTGATTCTAAATTATCTAGGTAATTTTTATGTCAACAGAAAGAGATTGAATAGAGATGATCAGCTTGTTTAAAATACACTGCATTACAGAAAAGGTGGTTAATTCCCTTAGGTCAATAATCTTCTGGCCTGGATTCAAATTTTGTTGATCTGTTCTGTTCCAGTGCCCAGGATCGAAAGAGAATTGCTAAAATTTTAATAATATTTTTAAAACATTTTATACTTTTTGTAATGAAGTAAATAGTTCTAAAATCAGATTGTTTCATATAGTCATCCAGTTTGTCTTTCCTGGGTTTCTGCATAATTATGAGATGAACACACATTGGTTTATATTAGGAATCCACAGAAGTGTCTGTGCTAGCCTAGAATAGTGAATTCTATTGTCCTATATTGAAATGGCTACAATGCTGGCTAAAAATATTTGTATAGCATTATTATTGCAGGAATTGCCATGGCAACTCAAATGACAGCATTAAGAATGACACCATAAGTCCAATACTGCCTCACTTAAAGTTGCTTAAAGTATTCAATGTCGCATAAAAATAAATTCTTTAGATATTCATATTCAAAGCAGGAAAATATTCTCATTCTTCAAAGTCTGAATCAAAAAGCTGACCATAATAATGATGGTAATTTATTTTTCTTCAGATTTCCAGTGCATGGAACCACTAGGTATGGAGTCAGGAGAAATCCACTCTGATCAAATCACTGTCTCCTCCCAGTACAGTGCTATCTGGTCTTCAGAAAGGTCCCGGCTAAATTACCCAGAGAATGGATGGACCCCAGGGGAAGATTCTATCAGAGAATGGATACAGGTAAAAAGATAACATTTTAAAGATGTTATTAATAATACTCTGGAATTTATTGAATGTGGAGAGTGCAAAAGAAAGAAAAATAACACAGTAAAGTACTTCTGCGTAATTTAAGAATCATTGCAAGTGAATAGCTCATATTCTCTATTAGACACACAACAAAAGACTTACTCCCAAAGGTATAGAAAAAGAAAAGGTCAGGAAGATTAATTCTTCTGCTTCCCACGTCTATTGTTTTTTCAGTCTTCTGGGCACAAATAACAGAGATTTTGGTTTAGTGGAAAAGTCAATATTAGTTTAACATGCACTTAAAATGGAATGTCCCAGTAAACTAAGCATGTGCTAAGTCTCTAGCTGATTACAGTTAAGCATTAGTACAAGATGGTGTTTTCATGCACTCAAATTTCACCTCAGAAGACCTATGTCCCTTCTGAAGTATGTCACACATGGAATGAGTTCAATGGTCTCTGTCTGGTGGCTATTCTTCCACATCCTTAAACACAACATTCATTAGCAAGTTTGGCTGCCTTGGCTTTGCTCTGTTAATACAGGAGAAATCATGTAAACATTTGTTGCCATGAAGAGGCTCCTTGAGTTCAGTCTGTCTGCTTGGGCTTGTTGTGTGCTGTTTATTATCAGGTCCTTAGCTTAATGGAGCATGATTTCTGAACAGGTCAAGATTATTCATATGAATACATATGTTTGTATACACAAAAATACTAACAGGCAAGTACTAATATGATTATATGAACAAACATTGATTTGTCTCAATTGTATGTTGAGTTACACTACTTAGCTATAACCTAGATTCTATTTTCTGTTGGCAAAAGCTACGAGAAATGCTTGAGCATATTAGATCTATATTAGTAATATTGAAAATTTGTTTATAGATTTGAAGCATTCCTCCTGCTTCTGTTGTTTTCTATAGGAAATTACTGACATATAAAAACAATGCCTTATTAGCCTTCCATATGAATGTTCACATTGGTGTTTCCTGTGAGGTTTACTGTCTGAAAGAAAGCTTAAAAACATGCTAAGTAGTAGTTAGTACAGGGAAGAAAGAGGGGGAAATCTTTTATTTCTGATCCTTGGCACACAAAGGGACTCTCAGGTGTCCTGCTTGGGGGCCCCTATGCATCCTGAGCTCTTGCCAACATGGTAATCATGTACAATGGACCTAATCAGACTTTGGCAAAAAAAAAAATTTCTGCTGATCCTTTTTCATTACTAAGGAATAAACATTACAATCTCCCCAACCTTATCTAAGTGCAAGGCTTGTTATTAATCATTGCCACTTGCAGTCCATGGAATGCACATGGAAAAAGGGTGGAATGCATCAGAATCAAATTCCATGTGTTTCATCTGGCTGGAGGGCCACCACTTTTTCTTTGTTTCCTTCTTTTCTGCTGTCACTTGCACAATTATGACTGGATAATCAAAACAAGAGAGCTAGTCCAATCTCATTCATGTGTTCTGTGTGTTTATTAACTTTATTAAGTTATGATAACTATGTAAATATATATATATATATAGCTTAATC